ACATTATATATACATGTATATACATATGTGTATATATCTATAGATACTCAAAATACTCCTACAAACTCCCATGAAAACCAAATAAAGAGGACTAAAAGGAAGAAGAGCATGTATGATGATATTGACTGACTTCTTACAGACTCATTTTGACATACGGAATTTGTCTTTCTTTCCTTCTGCTTTTCTCTGACAATGCTACATATAGAATTCTACCCCAACGGACTGCAGGGCTTATCTACCAGTTAAGAAGACAAAAACCTTCCAACTTGGAAGATATGGCATTAAGAATGGTTTTTCTACACGGAAGACTTGAAACATAGCCATCACTCTGAATACTACCACTTCCTCTCCCCGAAAATCACATTCCTTCATAAATAATTTAAAAAGATCATAAATTACAGTCCAAGTGAAAGCAAGTATTCTTAATTATCAAAATAATTAAGGAAAAAAGCAATTCAAGTTTTGTTCTTAAAAATATAAAATGCATATTACCAGCCATTGTAATTCACATAGTTGGACTGACCTTTATTAAGTACGAAGCCACAANAAAAAAAAAAAGCAACAATATTAAGGACTAATCTAAAGTATATGATTAACCTAGAGTCTGGTTCCTTTAAATACAGTCTGTGAAAAGAAATTAGATTTGGCTTGGTAACAGTTACATGATTTCATCTGCATGAGTAGAACCAGTATCTACAAGCATTACACAAGCATCACACTTCCTTGTAAAGTTTCCTAGGGAAAGTTTTAAATATTCTGATGAACTTCCAAGCAAGCCTAAACATCTTTGTCCATGATATGTGACCATGAACCATGTGCACTGGACATCAGGAGCATTTAAAAATACACTTTTCACAGTATGGTAAAACTTTTCAGAAAGTATATACTTTTCTCAATTTAATCCTGTCATATTTCAATAGAAACCAGATACCTTCCTCACCCTTTAATAATTCCCTGAATATGTATTAAATCATGTCAGCCTAATTTCAGTAAGACCCAATTTATATTAACCTCACTAATACTTTTTGGTATCATTCCCTCTTCCAATCTCCCACTCTTTCTACTCTTAGAAATAGAGGACAAAGGGCCGAGCCCATGGCGCACTCGGGAGAGTGAGGCGCTGGGAGTGCAGGAGCGCTCCCGCCGCGGGTTCGGATCCTATATAGGGATGGCTGGTGTGCTCACGGCACTCACTGGCTGAGCGCGGTGCAGCCGGTCTCAAAAAGGAAAAAAAAAAAAAAAAGAAAGAAAGAAATAGAGGACAAAGAACTGACTAAAGCAAATGCATAATATATTATTTTACATTATATATACATGTATATACATATGTGTATATATCTATAGATACTCAAAATACTCCTA